ACAGACTGCAAGAAAGGATTTATAACAAATATGAAGAAAAGGTTTAGCATTCAAACTCCATATAGATCATGCACAAAAACAGAACTGCTATGCAGCTGATATCACGGGGGTGAGATAAATTCCAGAAAAAATAAAAAGGGAAATAACCAGAAAAGACCCTGAGTTGAGCGAAGGTAGTAGTGTCAATGAGAACAGGTGCACATTCCAACTGCAAATCTGAGCCCAGTTCACAGATGAAATGTAAGAACCGGGAACTAGATTCAAGTGGTCTGAAACTGGTATCAACTCATAGCTCCTGACAAAAGCAAAAACTTCCATGTATAAAGGCAAAGTACACAGGCATCCATAATTACAGGAAACTAACATATGTCAACTAATTTAAGAAAATATCCACAAAAAGACAAATTATACTGAAATAACAAAAGAATAGTTGATTTTTAAAGTAACCAAAAGACAAATTATCTAAAAAGGCTAGCATTAAAAACAACCACCATCTGTTGTTTACAAGAATATGTTTAGAGGGGCTGGAGTTGTGGCTCAGTGGTAGTGTGCTCGCCTAGCATGTGCGAGGCCCAGGGTTCAATACTCAGCACCACATAAAAATAAATAAATAAAAATTGTGTCTAACTAAAACTAAAAAATAAATATTAAAAAAATACGTTTAGATACAATAAATAGGTTGAAAGAAATTAGAAAAAGACACACCAACAAAATATTAGTCTAAAGAAAAGCGAGGGCTACTATAAGTGAACAAAAAAAATCAGACTCTGATACTATTAAGCATTATTATATATAGGATTAAAACCAAGAAGACCTAATACTCCTCAAATACCACGTATCTAATAGAGTAAAAAATACAAAAAGAGACACAAAGTGTTTGGTGTAAGATGAATAGCTGGCAGCAAACCAGCATTCCCACCTCTATCCACTCCCAATAGCCAGAGAAAATATACAAATCCTCTTTTGGAAGACAGCAGAGACTTACTGAGGTGATAGGAAGTATGGGGCTAACTCTTGCTAAGAAAGAAACTTTGAGAAATGAACTGATTTTGTGCAGACAGTTTTGCCAAATAGTACATGCGGGGAGGCATTTATTTTTATAGAAATATGCCAGCTTAGAGCTGGGGTTGTAGCTCAGTGGTAGAAACGCTCGCCTCACATATGGGAGACCCTGGGTTCAATCCTCAGCACCACATAAAAGTAAATAAATAAAAATAAAGATATTGTGTCCGTCTACAACTAAAAAAAAATTAAGAAAATAAATATGCCAGCTTACTAATAAATGAAAAAGAAACAGTAGAACATCATCATGTTGCAATTCAAAATTAATGGGCCTAGGCATTAAGCATCATAAAAGGAAGACAAAGGATATCTCTGCCTCTTCATGAAAGAATACACAAACCTAAGAAGAGGTACTGTTCAAAAAAAACCAAAAATCAAGTCTGAATGTGATCAAGACAATCCACCTATTTTTATTTATTTTATTTGTTTGTTTGTTTACTGACAGGAGTATGTAAATGACAATTTATTTAGTTGAAAATCCTCTCGTACTTTCTAGACTGTAAAATTGCTTTTAAAAAAAGTCCAATTTTGGTTTACCATGTAACAATTTTTGAGCAGCTATTGATTCAATAGTAGAACAACACCATCAGGAAAGAATGAGAGAAATCACAGGGTGGGGTCTCTATTTTTGAAGTCTGAAGATTCTAAAACTCCTAATTAAAGTCACATGAAAGAAGATAGTCTATATTCCAACCATTTACTATTTCTATCTCCTAGTGACAAAGAAACATTTAAATATATATTTCAAACTATAGATCCACCATTTTATAGTAAACATGAGACAAAGAAACGGTCTTGAAAATCATATAATTGCTTTGAAATTTAGCAACCCATGTTTAATAACCCATGGATTATAGTATCTCCATGTAAAATATATAACAAAGCTTTTTGAAGAAAATACAGGAAGTTATCTTTATGAATTAGGGATAAGCAAACAATTCCTAAACAAGATACAAAAACCAAAATGCATTAAGAAAAAAGATTATTAAACCAGACTATATTAACATTAAGTGATACTAAGCCAATAGTAAGCCAAAATATATTTACTTACAAAAAAAAATTCAGGGCTGGGGATGTAGCTCAGTTGGTAGAGTGCTTGCTTCGCATGCACTAGGCCCTGGATTCAATCCCCAGAACCACATAAAAATATAAAATAAAAATAAATAAATTGGAATCCTCCCACACACTAAACATAAAAAAAAAAAAAAATTTCTAAGGGATTAAGACTCATATATTTGGAGCTGGGGCGGGGGCTGGGGCTCAGTGGAAGCCCTCTTGCCTGGCATGTGTGAGGCACTGGGTTCGATTCTCAGCACCGCATAAAAATAAATAAAATAGGGCTGGGTATGTGGCTCAAGCGGTAGCGCACTCGCCTGGCATGCACGGGGCGCTGGGTTTGATCATCAGCACCACATAAAAAAAAAAAAAATTAAAAAGATGTTGTGTCCACTGAAAACTAAAAAATAAACATTAAAAAAATTTTCTTTCTCTAAACAAATAAATAAAACAAAGGTCTGTCAACAACTTAAAGAAAAAAGACTCATATATTTAATTGTCTATTTAACATTTCCACTTGGATGTCCAAAAGAATCTCTGAACTTCAGAGCTCCTCAACAAACCTATTCCATCCAATCTTCCCCATGCCCCCATCTCAGATGGCTTGGCCTCAAGGCACATTTTCCTATCTAAACTCCCTATTGGTGATTCCTAATCCAATGGCTTCATTTTATTATCACAAAAAGCTGTACATGCACATGTTGAAAAATTAAAGAATAAAAATAAGAAAAATACCACATTCTTACCATCCAGAGATTATCCCTGATAATACATCTTTAATGAAGATCATTATATGTATTTCTATTAATTATACTTTTGCCAATATGAAAGCATACTATTCTTAGTATTTCCTATTCTGGATTTTGTTAATATTTTTCATCTTTCCATGTCTATGATTTTTTGTCTCATGTAATACCCACCCCATATTCAAATTTCTCCAATTATCAAATGAGAAAGTTTAATCCCAGCAACTCAAGAAGCTGAGGCAGGAGGACCTCAAATTCAAAGCCAGCTTCAGCAACTTAGATAGTCTCTGAGGAACTGAGCAAGACCCTGTCTCTAAATAAAATATTAAAAAAGGCTGGAGAGGGCTGGGGATGTGGCTCAAGCAGTAGCACGCTCGCCTGGCATGCATGGGGCGCTGGGTTCTATCCTCAGCACCACATTAAAAAAAAAAAAAGATGTTCTGTCCACTGAAAACTAAAAAACAACTATTAAAAATTCTCTCTCTCTGTATCTATCTATCTCTCTCTCTTTAAAAAAAAAAGGCTGGGGAGGGTTGGGGTTGTGGCTCAGTGGTAGAACACTCACATAGCATGTTCAAGGCCCTGGGTTTGATCCTCAGCACCATATAGAAAAAAAAAAAAAAAACAAATAAATAAAGGTATTGTGTCCATCTACAACTAAAAAATAAATATTTTTTAAAAAGGGCTGGGGATATGGCTCAACAGTTAAGCACCCCTGGGCTCAATCCCTGGTACAAAATAATAATAATAACAACAACAACAACAACAACAAAAATAAAAATAAAAACAAAATTGTGTTGCTTATGCCCAAACTACTCTTTCTTGCTCTAGTCTGTCTTTAAACTCATAACCAACCTTTGAAATTCTATAGCAATCTAGTCCTCTTGGAACTTCCCCTGAAACTCCTTGCTCTCTTCCTTCCCCAATGCTAATTCACTGTATTGTACCAAAGCATCTCTACTGTTCTACGTTATGTACTTTAAAGAATTCATCAATCCCCCCAAGATGTATCCATGTTAAAAGTTGGTATCGGACTTTACTTCACCCAAAATTGTTATCTAGCACATGGTTAGAATTTCCTAAGTATTTAACTGACAGAAGCATTCTGGAACATAAACATAGCAAATATCCACAAATATTTATTACAAGGAATTGACTTTATGAGCTATATAAAAGGATATGTATGGAGAAATAAGAGTTGAGAGTGAGGATTTCTTTGACTACACCTATTAATTATGTATTATTGGGAAAGTGGGTCTGTAGGTCTTTCATCTCATTAGCAAAATTAGAAGAATGAACTATACATCTAAGATGTTATAATCTTAGATTCTTTGGAATAAGGTCTTTAATATTCATTCCATGGTTTTTGAAATTATCTTTAGACTGGCAATACTAAATGTTTGTAAAGATGTGGAACAACTAGAATTCTTATACATTGACTTTTGGCAGTTTCTCATAAAATCGAACCTAAACTTCAGCAACTGTACCCCTAGTATTTACCCAGGAGGAATGAAAATATATGTCCACATAAACACTTAGAGCCAAAAAGGAAAATAACCGAAATGTCCATCAATATTAAAATAGATAAAAATATACTAAAGTCATAGTATACCTATACACAATGGAATGGAATTCAGCACTAAAAAGGAACTAATTTACTGATACACACAATAGCATGAATGACTCTTTAAAGCATTACACTAAGTGTAAGAAGGTTGACACAAAACTATATGCTTCTACTCATATGAAGTTCAAACAGATAACAAAAGGTTGCTGGGGAGGGAATAACTGGAAAGGGTTTAGAGGGAACTTCCTGGGGTAATGAAAGATATTGATCTGGACAAGAATCAATTCTGGGCAGAATCGGATATATTTGTCAAAATTTATCAAACTGAACACTTGACAAGCAGACATTTTATAAAGTATATCTCGATGTTTTAAAAGTTCAAGTCACGGGCTGAGGTTGTGGCTCAGTGGTAGAGTGCTCGCCTAACATGCATGAGGCACTGGGCTAGATTCTCAGCACCACACAAAAATAAAAGAAACATATTGTATCCACCTAAAACTAAAAAATAAATATTAAAAAAAGTTCAAGTCATGTAAAATTTTTAAAAACTTAGAAATTTTTATACTTACCTTCTTTTCTTTTGAGCAAGGTTGAGTTCCATAAACTTATACTTTTGGTATTGTTCATCCAGCTTCTTTAGTACTGTATCTGCAGTCTCATTCCCAGGCTGTTTCATGAAGGAGTCTACATCTTCCTTTAAGATCAAAAATAACATGAAAATTTTAGAATTTATACTACTCAATCTGAGTTTTTGACAACTTTGTTTTTAAAATATTAAAAAAAAAGTTTATCCCAAAGTTTTGTTGTTAACTAAAAGAGTAACTATAAAAAGACAAAGACTAGTAGTGGCCGGGTTGTGGCTCAGTAGTAGAGTGCTTGCCTAGCATGCGTGAGGCACTGGGTTCCATCCCTAGCACCACATAAAAATAAGAACAAATAAAATAAATATGTTGTGTGTTGTGTCCATCTACAACAAAAAAAGAATTAAAAAAAAAAAAAAAACAGATAAAGAACAGCCAGGCATAGTGGCACATGCCTGTGGCACAGCCCAATACCTGGGGAGGCTAAGGCAGGGGAACCACAAGTTCAAAGTCAGCCTTAGTAACTTAGTGAGACCCTAAGCAACTTAGTGAGACCCTGTCTCTAAATAAAACATTTAAAAAGCCAGGCACAGTGGCACACGCCTGTAATCCCAGTGGCTGAGGAGGCTGAAGCAAGAGGATCATGAGTTCAAAGCCAGCCTCAGCAATGGTGAGACGCTAGGCAACTCAGTGAGACCCTGTCTCTAAATAAAATACAAAATAGGGCTGGGGGTGTGGCTCAGTGGTCCAGTTCCCCTGGGTTCAATCCCTGGTACCACCCCCCGCCAAATTTAAAAATATGCTGGCAGCAGCTCAGGAGGCTGAGGCAGGAGGATCGTGAGTTCAAAGCCAGACTCAGTAATGGCGATGTACTAAGCACCTCAGTGAGACCCTGTCTCTAAATAAAATATAAAATGGGGCTGTGGATGTGGCTCAGTGGTTGAATGCCCCTGAATCCAATCACCAGTACTAAAAAAAGAAAACAATATGCTGGGAATGTGACTCAGTGGTTGAGTGCTCCTGGGTTCAATTCCTGTTGGTACCAAATAAAATTAAATATCACTTTTTAGACAGTACACATACATTATGAAGCCAATTTATTATTCTTTCACAATTCTATTTTATTCATTTTCATTATTTATTTTTTGTGCCTGAAGACTAAACCCAGAGGGCTTTACCACTGAGCAACATCCCCAGCCCTTTATATTGTTTATTTTGAGACAGTCTCACTAGTTGAGTAAGGGCCTCACTTAGTCACTGAGACTTGTTGAGAGCCACAGCCAAAGGGGCCCCAGCAAACTTCCAGCTGCTGGCTGATGACTGGCTCACAGCGGCCCCAGCAACATCTAGCTGATTGGCTCCTCGGCCCCAGCAACATCTAGCTGATTGGCTCCTCTGCGGTGATGCTCATTGGGCTGTTTCCCTGCCCTTTCAGACCAGGGAGCTGCTCATTGGGGGACTTTTTTGGCTCCGCCCACGTGACCCAGCCAATCGGCCTCAAGAGCAGGAGGATTGTGGGAGGTGGGGAGAAGCTTGTGTGGGAGAGAGAGGCTTGTGGAAAGCCGGTGGTGGCAGTTGAGGCTCTGAGGGTTTTTCCTGAGAGGCTGTTTTGTTTGGCGTGTGTGGTTCTAAAAATAAAGTTAGTTTCTTTTGACAAGTGGCTCCTGATTGTGCCCAGCCAGACTGCGGCAGAGACTGGCCTCAAACTTGTAATCCTCCTTCCGTAGCCTCCCAAATCACTGGGATTACAGGTGTGCACCAGTGTACCTAGACCTATTTAATTTTCATTTACAAACAGGGGGGAATGATGACCTTTCCTGTTTTATGCATTTCCCATGTGGCCCTATAGTAAATATAAAATTTACCAGCAACCAAACATATTCCTTATTCATACATACTAATCTCAAAATGATTCAACAGGTTGTGTGCCAAAATTACCAATTTTCCTACTTATTTTTAATTCAACATGTTCTGCCATAGAAAGCATGTTAAATATGATCATTAGGTTTCCAAGGCAAACTGCAAATGCTTCCTTAAGTATCAAGAAGTTCAAATAAAATAAAATTGTTTTGAAATGAATAATAAAGCAAAAGAAAAACAGTAATACCAATGCTAAATTTCTTCAAAAAATATATACCTGGTCTTTGGGAAAAAAAAGCTAGTTAATTAGATAAGGATCAGAAGCTACATGAAAATACATGGAGGGGCTGGGGCTGTAGCTCAGCGGCAGAGCACTCGCCTAGCATGTGTTAACTTTAGTTAATTATAAGAAACTTCAATTATCTTATGATTTCTGTGACCTTCACATCATTATTCATATTTATGCTTATTAGCTATCAAGGAATATTTTAGCTCAAAGAAGTCCATGAAGAAAAAGAAAAACACAACAAGGGACTTAACTATGATGCCACCAAGGCTAAATTCACCAAGGAGAATTCAGCGAGGAGAATTGCAGCAGCCTAAGACGTGGTTAAGACACAGGGGAATAAACTTAACCAAGGAGATAAAATGCTTCTACAATGAAAATTAAAGAACACTGAAGGAAGACATTAGAGAAGACCTCAGAAGATGATAAGACCTCCCCATGCTCTTGGATAGGTAGAATTAATATTGTTAAAATGGCCATACTACCAAAATCATTACACAGATTCACTGCGTTCCCCATCAAAATACCAATGACATTCTTCACAGAACTAGGGAAAAAAAAACAGTTCTAAAATTCATTTGGAAGAATAAAAGACCCAGAATAGCCAAAGCAATTCTAAGCCAAAAGAGCAATGCTGGAGCCATCACAATACCTGACTTCAAATTATACTACAGAGCTATAGTAACAAAACCTTCATGGTACTGGAAACAAAATAGGAGACACAGAGACAAACACACATATTTATAGTCATCTAATACTTGACAAATGTGCCAAAAACATACACTGGAAGAAGTACAGACTTTTTAACACATAGTGCTGGGAAAACTGGTTATCCATATGTAGAATGAAACTGTATCCCTATCCCTCACCCTGCACAAAAATCAACTCAAAGTGGATCAAAGACCTAGAATATAGACCATAAATATTGCAACTTCTAGAAAAAAAAAATAGGGTCAGCACTTCAACATACTGGTGTAGGCGAACTTCTTCACCAAAACTCCTAAAGAGCAAGAAATAAAACCAAGAATTACCAAGTGGGATGAATCTCACATTAAAAAGCAAAAGAAACAAATAAGATCATAAAGAGAGAGCCTACAGAATGGCAAAAAAATCTTTCCCAGCTACTCTTCTGAAAGGGGATTAATAGCCAGAATATATAAAGAACTGAAAAATCACCAAATATGTAAATAACCGATCAACAAATGGGTAAAATGACCTCAACAGACATTGCTCAAAAGAAGAAATATAAATAGTCAACAAATATATGAAAAACTGTTCAACACCTCAGTAATCAGGAAGATGCAAATCAAAACCACATTGAGGGGGCTAAGGTTGTGTCTCAGTGGTAGAGCAATTGCCTAGCACAGTGAGGCCCTGGGTTCAATCCTCAACACCATATAAAAATAAATAAATAAAGGTATTGTGTCCATCTACAATGAAAAATATTTTTTAAAAAAACAAGTACATTGACATTTTATATCATTCCAGTTAGAATGGCAATGATCAAAAATAGAAATAATTTCTGACAAGGATACGCCATGTACATGTATGAATATATCACAATGAATTTCACTTTTATGTATAGCTACAATGCACCAATCAAAAACAACAATAAATAGACAACTCAGAGAGTAAAGGAAGGGGATCAAGGGGAGGGAGAAGGGGACAGAAAGGGGAAGTACTGGGGACTTAAATGGAGCAAATTATCTTATATGCATTTGTGAATATATAAAAATGAACCCCACTATAATGTACAATTAGAATGAACTAATAAAAAGATTTTTAAAAAGAGACAGGGATTGCCTAGTTTGAATACTGGCTTTACCACATATTAGATATGTTGACCTCTCCTTGCCTCAATTTCTTGATTTATATAATGAAATTAGAGTGCCTTTTCCAGGCTGTGATTGTGGCTCGGTGGCAGAGCACTTGCCTCACAGTACAAGGCACTGGGTTTGAGCCTCAGCATCACATGAAAATAAATAAATAAATAAAGGTATTGTGTCCATCTACAACTAAAAAAATATTTAAAAAAAATAAAGTGCCTTTTCCTCACAGGGAATTAAAAGAGTTAGACTGTGTGAAATGCTTAGGAGACTATGTATAACTGTGCAGTAGTGAGTAATGAGCAAACATTAGCTATGTGTACAACATATGCTGTGGGGATACAGATGAAAAGTTCCACGAATTTTGTTCTGGGGTTGAAGTTAGGAAAATCTACAGGGAGGTAATATCCAAAGCAGATACTAAAAGTTGATAAGGGCATCAGATAAACAATGGTGGAGGGATAATTCAAGCAGAGAAAAATAAAATTATTCTAAAAGTAAGATTGAAGGAAAAGCCAGGTCTGACTTTTAACCACTATGATATATAGATGGCTTCCTGCCATAGGGGATTAGACTAACACTTACTAAGCACGTACTATACCTGCAATACTGAAAGCATGCTTTTTTTTGTCATAAGTAGTGTCATTCTCATTTCAGTTAAAGAAACAGGTTCAAAGTAGTAAAACAATATGGTTAAGGCTGAATAGCAATGGGAAACCAGAGGCAAGTGTCAAACTATTATTTATACAAAATCTGATGCCCTTTCTAAAACCATGTCACTCATTAATTTGAGACCATAAAAAGATGTAAAATTTGGGTTCCTTATTATATCATGCTGGTAGGGATTTTAGGGTCTAAAAAAATAACTCATAAAATTTTAGGGGAGGGGGCTGGGGTTGTGGCTCAGTGGTAGAATGTTTGCCTACGACATGTGAGGCCCTGGGTTCGATCTTCAGCACCACAAATAAATAAATAAAGGTATTGTGTCCAACTACAATTAAAAAATTTTTAGGGAAAACAATGTATTTTAAGACAAAACTTAAGATAAAGCCCCTTCTTGAATTAGATTTTTGAGGCCATCTCTAGCTAAGTAGTATGAATGTTGTATTTAAGGCACTATGGAAATTTAACTATACAAGTATCAAGTTATACTATATGCCAGGCACCATGCTAGGATTAGGATAAATGGCACAAACCAAGAGAATTACCTCAATTTTGTCCCAGAGCAGAACATGAGAGGGGTAAGTAGAGGCTCTGGAGCCCCACAATTTGCTGAAGTTCAAATTGTAAATATCTCATTTACATTCTGTCTGACCTTGAGAAAGATACTCAAGGGGTCTATTTTTCAATTTCAACATGTACAATATGGGAATTATAATAGCTAACTATCCCCTAGAATTCTGTAAAGTCATTGAGAAAGTGCCTGGCAATCAGCAAATTTTATTTCTTGCTACCATCAGTTGAGAGATAAATGTAAAGAAATGTGGCATATCTCGGAAAGAAAACGTGAAATAATTAAAAATTAAGGAAAATAATTACAGAATTCAAGCATCAAATGCAAATAAGGCGTGTTCTAAATACAAGAAATATATCTTTAGAAAGATATAAGACATAATTAACAAAAAGAAGACAATATAGTATATCTTTTGGTTCAAATTAAAAGATGGACAAAATTCCATTAAGTTTTCATAGTAGCTTAGTACAACTAAATGAAGAAAGACAGTTGATGCTGGCCTGGAATGCCATTCAGAGGTTTTCTGTCATAATTCCAGTAGTTTTACAACGCTGCTTTTAGAATAGTTAGATATGTAAAAACGACAGGGTTGACAGCTTCTACTTGCTTCTCTTTGTTTAAACATGGGGTTGGTCTCCCTGTTCCGTGAAATCTCCAAATTATGTCCCCCACCTCCTCTAAACTGCACATAATTCATTCTTTAGTAAATATGATCATATCATGGTCTCATGTACATACCTTGTGTAATGACAGTTCGTTGCCTACTGGATAAGTCCTTGATTCCTTAGCAAGACACAAGGATTTTACACCGTTACCCTAACAACATCTCCTTCCATTTCCCAGAGGCAAGAGACCTCTGCATTCCTTAAACTGACAAGGTACCATTCCTTAATTAACATCTTACCACCAACTGTTCTGCCTACTCACTGTATTCTAAGTGTTCACTTATCTGTCTTTACAGCATCTAGGCTGAGGTGCGATCACTCACTACCTCGCGTTTTCTAAAGGGACCTGGCAATAAAGGAGCGGTCCCTCAAGACATCCAGCTCAAGCCCCCTCACTCTGACCTTGCTCTCGCTCCCCAGTCCTCCTGTCCCAGGCCCTGTTTCTTTTAGGACCTGCTCGGCCTGCGTTTATTCAGAGCGACCTGCAACAGAGCTCAATCGCTTCAGATATCCGGAGGGAAAGCGGACGATCGCTCCCTTCCTGGTCCTTCAGTTCAGTCCCTTCCCCCAACAGTCCGAGCTCGGGTAGGGGCTGGAAAGGAAGCAGACTTCAGCCTCCGGCCAACATACCAGGGAACAGCGCGACCCTTACCACAAATACAGCCTCAGGAATCCCCAGGTGGAGCCGCCGCCCATTCCCTGCAGCCACTTCGACGCCGCAACCGTCCTTAGAGGCCGCCATCTTGAGAAAGCAAGCCCTCGGCTAACTGCCTTGCTGAGGGGCCAGCCACCCGTGATCAGTGATTAGCTGGATTGCACCCACAGACCCCTCCCTCCCCCGTGAGTCTTGCGCACTCATTGGTGACTACGCAAGAGTCACCGCCTCTCCTTTGGCCGACTAAGCCCAACCTCTACATGCTAATTGGCTGCACAGAAGTGAATGACAAGCGTAGAAGCGACACAGAAGAAAATCAGAAGCTGCAGGAAGGACCAATAGGGACTTCTGGGAAAACGTACTAGAGATTTGAGTGGGCAGGGTTAAAACCCTAGGCTACCGGACCACGCCAAAACAGGGAACACCCTTTACAATGGCTTATGGAGCGACCCCATGTTTATTTGCACACCAGCGAACCTGGGACCTAGACGCCAATATGAATATCGCCTTTCTATTCCCATTATCCCCTTGAAGGTGACTTGTTTTGTGTCTGTTTCAGAGTACAGCCATTGGCCTAATGATAATAAATACCCCACCGATGGCACCAACCTTTCTCTAAAGCCACTTTTGCACAGAATCCAGCCACATCACAAAACTAAACTTCAGAGTTTACATCCTAAGAACTCCATCTAGGCTACTAGACTAAAGGACTTACCCAACATTACCCTCCACTATAACCCTTTAAAAGCTAGTGCATCATACAGGCCCACATAAGTATTCTTTGATCTCTTTTCAGACATCTAATACAGTGTTTGTCCCTGACTTTGCTTTCACAGAACTGTTTTTCAGGACTTCAGCCCCTCCCACAACTTCTACCGCAAACATAGGAATGTTTGCTTAGCAAAATCCGTCTCCCTTCTCAGAGGCAATCGTTGTAAACCAGTTTGTCTCCACGGATAATTAATACATGATCATGCATACAGGCATACGTAGAAATACCTGTCTTTATATTAAAAAGCAGGACATTGGCATCCTACTATTGTAAATAAGGGAACTAAGGCTCAGAGAGTTTGCAGTATCTCCAAAATCGTACAGGTAGAAATTAAATGAAGCTGAAATTCCAAACTACCTCTCTAAAGACTTCCAGGCTATTTGCCTTGGAAGAGTAAAGACCTGTCAACCTCTGGCCAACAGCTTTAAGGACCACAATGCTCTATTCCAACAAAGAAAAATAGATTCGAACTGTATTCTTTAAAACTATTCCTGATCTCAACACCGTCCAAAAACGAGGGGAAAAAAGTGAAAAATAGGTAATGTTTCTACAGGAAAACATTTACATAAAACAATCTCCCATCTTTCCTTCCCCACCTCCCTCCCACACACACAATTTGATTCCACTTAATTAACCCATATCTATATTCATATTTGTTATTACTAATACTGTCTTTACTCCAGACTTTAAAAACATTTTTCCAAATCATCACTAAATCCAATCTGTAATAATTCATGTAAGAGATATATTATTTGGGTCTTACAGCAAGGTTTTATTCTATTCCTTGGAACAAAAATCTTACCTTATGTTTTACTCCCTTACAGGTATAGAAAAATTATTTCTATATTACACTGCAGAATATATTTCCTTTCTAGGTTTCTCTTAATTACAAAGTTATATGCAAGTTCATTCTGACTCCTTACTTTTTTTCATCACATGGCAACAGCTTTTCCAACAGTACACTAAGCTTATCAACTCTAAATGTCACTTTTTTATCTCCCGCTTTAAAAAAAATATCTGGGGGCTAGGGTTGTGGCTCAGAGGTAGAGTGCTTACCTAGCATGTGTGAGGCACTGGGTTCAATCCTCAGCACCACATACAAAAACAAAGATGTTGGGTCCGCCGAAAACTAAAAAATAAATATTAAAAAGTTCTCCCTCTCTCTCTTAAAAAAATAAAAAAAAATTTAACATGAATGTTGGTTGATGTTTTCCTTTTTCTTCTTTTTATTTTTTTTTCCCGGCTGGGGGTGGGGGTGCTGGAGATTGAACCCAGGGATGCTTAACCACTGAGCCACATCCCCAGCCCTTTTTTGTTTTTTATTAGACACAGGGTCTCTTTGAATTGCTTAGGGTCTCACTAAGTTTCTGAGGCTAGCTTTGAACTTGAGATCCTCCTGCCTCAGCCTCCCTAAATCACTGGGATTACAAGAATGCACCATGGCACCCAACTTGATGTTTTCATTTTAAGTAATAAGAAAAGTAATATGGAAAAAATGTATGTCTTGGCAATTTAGTCATTCATCAATGATATGTGATTCCTTTGCTGAACTGGATACTGGTTTTCAAATACCAGAAAATAATTGCCTCATTTTTGTGTTTTTCACAACGTAATGGCTACATACATAACCTACTTTAAAATAAAATCTACATTTAGTCACAGTTCCTCTATCACTTTCTTAAGTCTGGAGTGACAAGCCATAAATCAAGCTTTATTTTGTAACATTTGCCTATTTCTGTGAGATAAACACTACTACCACAGCTGATATCAAGTCATATGGATTTGAGAAGACATACCCAATACCATAGCATTACAAAGTACAGTACAATAGATGTAAGTAATTGTTGAGAGCCACAGCCGAAGGGGCCCCAGCAAACTTCCAGCTGCCGGCTGATGATTGGCTCACAGTGGCCCCAGCAACATCTAGCTGATTGGCTCCTCTGCGGTGATGCTCATTGGGCTGTTTCCCCGCCCTTTCAGACCACGGAGCTGCTCATTGGGGGACTTTTTTGGCTCCGCCCACGTGACCCAGCCAATCGGCCTCAAGAGCAGGAGGATTGTGGGAGGTGGAGAGAAGCTTGGGTGGGAGAGAGAGGCTTGTGGAAAGAACTGAAGGTATCAGTTGGCATAATATTGATTATATTGATAATACTTGTTGCATAAAACTTATTAGCAAAAAAAACCAACAGGACTGCTCCATCTTTTGGATGAAGAAAGCAATTTTCCACAGGCAACAAATCAGACATTGCTAGACAAGTTTAAGCATCAACATGAAGAGAATTCTTACATTGAATTTCCAGCTGTGATGGAGCCTGCTTTCACCATAAAACACTATGCTGGAAAAGTAAATTATGGAGTAAAGGATTTTCGGGAAAAAAATACAGATCATATGCGCCCAGACATTGTAGCTCTTCTGAGAAGTAGCAAGAATGCATTTATCTCTGGGATGATTGGAATTGATCCTGTGGCTGTATTCCGATGGGCAGTTCTCCAGCCTTTTTCAGAGCCATAGTTGCTTTCAGGGAAGCTGGGAAAAGACACATTCAGAGAAAGACTGGACATGATGATACAGCGCCATGTGCGGTTTTGAAAAGTATGGATAGTTTTAGCTTTCTTCAACACCCAGTCCACGAGAGGAGCTTAGAGATTCCGCAGAGGAGCCAATCAGCTAGATGTTGCTGGGGCCACTGTGAGCCAATCATCAGCCGGCAGCTGGAAGTTTGCTGGGGCCCCTTCCGCTGTGGCTCACAGGAGTATTTTGGCAAGAAGGTCCATTATTATGGATACATTTATCTTATTCTCCTAACACTATTCTTACTAGGTATCCTGAGGCTGTAGGACAATTAATACTCAAAGGAATAAAAGCAGCAAAGGGAGTGTTTGGAATTTCTCCCAATAAAATTATTACTCCATATACTATGAATCAAATTGATGAGTTAGCTAATGAGTTAAATACTTGGGCAATAATCATGTGCAAATCTAATGTTTCATTTGATAACCACTTACCATCTAATCCTTTATTGTCTTTTTGGTCACTGCATCCTGTAATTTTTCCAAAAATGACAAGAAAAACACCTATCATGAATGCTCCAAATATATTCACTGATGGGTCAAATAATGGTACAGCAGCAGTAGTTACCCCTGATCAAACTTTTACATTTTTAGTACCCAAACAATCAGCTCAAAAGGTAGAGCTTAATGCAGTTTTACAAGCTTTTGTGATGTTTAAAGATTCTGTATTTAATTTATTTTCTGATAGTCAGTATGTAGTTAATGCTATAGTATCTCTTGAAGATGCTGGTAGGATTTCCCCTTCTTCTACTGTTTTCTCTTTGCTTTCCACTATACAAAGTCTAATCTGGGACAGAAAAGATCCATTCTTTATAGGACATATCAGGGCACATACAGGATTGCCTGGAGCCCTTAGTTTGGGCAATGATTTAGCAGATAAAACTACACATGACATACATATTTTCTCTACACTAGAAGAAGCTATAAATTTTCATAAAAAGTTCCATGTCAATGCTAATACTTTACAAAAGCGTTTTAAAATAACTAAGGAACAAGCTAGACAAATAATAAAACAATGTCAAAATTGTGTGACCTTTTTACCACAAGTTAATCTTGGAGTCAATCCTAGAGGACTGATACCTAACCATATTTGGCAGATGGACGTCACACACTTGCCAGAATTTGGAAAATTAAAATATTTGCATGTTACAGTTGATACTTCTTCTGGATTTTTGATGGGCTCCCTTCATGCCGGAGAAAAAACTAAAGATGTTATAGCTCATTGCTTACAAACTTTTGCCACTGTGGGTGTTCCAAAACAGTTAAAAACAGATAATGCCCCTGGTTATACTTCTACCTCTTTTAAACAATTTTGCTCAACATTTGGCATTACTCATATAACAGGAATCCCATACAATCCACAGGGACAAGGCATAGTTGAAAGAGCTCATCAAACTATTAAAATGTACTTATTAAAGCAAAAAGAAGGAATTGGGAAGGGGTATATATTCCCCAAAGATAAACTTAAAATAACCGTTTTTACTCTAAACTTTTTAAATTTGGATTCATCAGGACTTAGTGCTGCGGAAAGGCATATGTGTCCAAAAAATGTGCATAAGCCCAAGGTACTTTGGAAGGATATTCTAACAGGACAATGGAAAGGTCCTGACCCAGTAATTGTCTGCAGTCGAGGGTCTGTTTGTGTGTTTCCACAGGGAGAACAGCAGCCGATTTGGATTCCAGAGAGATTAACCAAGGTCCTGACCCAGTGATTGTCTGGAGTCGGGGGTCTGTTTATGTGTTTCCACAGGGAGAACAGCAGCCGATTTGGATTCCAGAAAGATTAACTAAAGCGATTTCTACAGACCAA